ATAATAATAATAATAATAATAATAATAATAATAATAATAATAATAATGTTATGTATTGTCAGCATTGTATGTTCCCATACAATGGTGAAAATGGCTCTCTGCATTTAACCTATCCATCCCCAGGTGGAGCAGTGGGAAGCTATTGAAAGCACCTGGGGAGCAATTGGGGATAGGGTGTCCTGCTCAGATACACCACGAGATGTGCAATGACTGGGGATCGAACCTTGGACTTTCGTGTCCCGAGTCGGCTGCCCTGCCTCTACCCCACATTAAATCTGAAAGGCATTACAAAGAAGCTAGTTTGGATTGCTAGTTCCATGTACGAAGGTGTTAAAACAACAGTCAGAACTGGCAAAGGCAACACAACAACATTTGAGATTAAAGTTGGTGTTCATCACGGTTCATGTCTCAGCCCACTGTTGTTTATTGTTGTGATGGACGCAGTTACTGAGCTTATTTGGAAAGAAGGATGTCGTGGGATATGTTGTATGCAGATGACCTAGTTGTGGCTGGAGATTCTGAATTTAATCTCAAAGATAGTTTCAGGTGGTGGCAGCAGGCACTTGAGAGTAAAAGTCTGAAAATAAACGCAACAAAAACAGAGACCATGGTCTGCTTAAAAGCTAAGAAGACCTTATCAATTGCTGATAACAGAGGAAATGCAGTGAAGCAGGTCGAAATGTTCAAATATCTGGGGTTGGTGATAAATTCCAAAGGGATAGATGGTGAAATGACGACATCAGAAAAATGCTTGTCGTGACATGCATCACGGATAAGATACAGGAATCAAGAATGAGACGGTATGGGCATGTGCAACAAATGTAAGATAAGGTAAGTGGTAAATGGACTGTACTTATATAGCACCTTTCTATTTTATCAAGACACTCAAAACACTTTACTACCATACAATCTGTGTCCTCATTTACCCATTCATACAGGACTCTACTAAATCTCTACAAAGCTAATTGAGCAAATCATTCTAAATAGACTAATCAGTGCTTTATCACATTCATACACCAATTGGACACACCTTGGAGGCAATGAGGGGTTCAGTGTATTGCCCAGGGACACTTTGGCATGTGACTGCTGGTATTCAAACCCTCCAGCTCTTGCATTGGAGGACGACTGCTCTAACCACTCAGCCACAGCCGCCCTAGCCAGGTAAAAAGGCTATTAAACACAAAAGTTAACGAAGTAGGGGATGGCAGAAGAAGAGGTGGATGGATATGATCCAGCGGTATATGAAAACACTCCATCTCACAACAGACGATACATGAAACAGAGCAAAATGGAGAAGAAGAATCCACGTGGCTGACCCTGCTCCGAAAAGAGCAGGACCTACAGTTGGAAGGAGAGAGAGACAGCCAAGGATTACTTTCTGAGAGTTTCAATAAAATCCATCATCTGATTCTTGGAATTCTTTGCCAAAAGATGGCCAAACAAATGAGCAACGTGTCGATGGGCAAGAGGACGAACAAAGAAGTCACTAGATTTAGTTTGGTGGTTCTACATTTTATCATCATATTTTACATGATTTTTTTTTTTTTTACAATTTTGTTGCTGTATTTGCCTGGATTCCCTGATTTTCCTGACACTTCTGTAACAAATGCAGTCGTGTGTTGTGCTGAAAAGGAAACTGGAGATTTGATGGCCTTCCAGGTAAGGAGAAACAAAGGGAGGTTTGATTGCTTGAATCTTGCAGAAAGCTGCTGCAGATCAACGTGTTTGACTGTCCTGGAGCTCCACATGGACAAACGTAAACGTGTCCTCACTCCTATCTTTACAACACTCTGACATTGTTAGAAACTATTCTTAAGAGTAAAGATCTTGAAGAAAAAATAATAAATCCATCTGCTTCTCTTTGAAGAAATTTGGCATTTATTATAAAATTAAAGATTTGGAAAGTAAATGAAACTAAACCAAGACCTCAGAAACCGTGACAGCAGCCGTGAAACCAAACTGGTGACGAGGCTGTCAAGTAATACTGTAAGCCGCTGCCGCGTTTCATCTACCTACTGTCAAAATGTGTGAAACCATCAACTCTGCAAGTTTTGAAATAAAGCAATATTCATAATAAACGCAGCAGCAGTGTCCCGGTGCACACCGGAGGCACCGAACACACCAAACAAAAACAAGTTATTCTGAAACATCTGAAATCTCAGTGGCTGAATAAACTTAATAAAACCAAAACATTATTCATCTTCATCCTTTGAACTAAAACTACATTACCCACAATGCCAACTTCTCTATCATGATTACTGTTTTTTTTTTTGGACTATAAGGCGCATTAAGGGAAACAAAACAGTCAGATAAGTCAAACTTTGTTAATCTCCTTAAGAATAACCACATAAAATTGGTTGGAGGTCAGTAAGAACAACCAGAATTAACACATATGGTGCACCCGATTATAAAGCTCACTGTCAATTTTTGAGAAAATTAAAAGGATTTTAAGTGCGACTTATAGTCCAAAAAATATGGTAATCAGCTGAAGCAACAGAGCAGGAAATGACAAGTTTTGTTACAACTAAACGACTCCAGCCAACACAAAAATGGTTACAGCTCAGTTGAATTTATGGAAACTAAACAGAATTTTGTCAAGATAGTAGCTGAGCATCATCCCCAACACATAGTCTGAGCTCCACACACTCGGATTAAATTTTAACAATAAACATTTGAGTTATCATTTGTGTGCTGTCATATGAAAAACACCTCATGAACCATTAAATGGATTTTAATGAAACTCTCAGAAAGTAATCATCGTCTGTACATCAACAAAGTTAATGTGATTCAAGATGGCTGCTACAGCTATTCAACCTCAGGTAACACTGAAATGACTATACTTCAGTCCGTTTTACAGAAATGAAGATTAAATTTTACCATAGCAGCCGTGACTCATTTACAACAAGTAGCTGAAGCGCTAACAGACCATGTGGGATCCTGCATGAAGCTATTTTCAGTGCTTGACAAATACGACTCAAAGGTCCTCATTTTTCAACATTTGATCCAGCCAGCTGCTTTGACGAGTCAGATAAAAATTAGACAGGTGACATGCATTCCTTCAAAGAAACTGAAATTAAAAAACATGATTAAATTAAACAAATAAAAGACTTTTGATTTAAACATTAATTTTACTTTTTTTGTTAGTTGTGCATTAACTTCATTATCGTAGAGCTTCACATCGGTTATGAGGTTTATGGATTCACAATGAAAAACTTGATTTTCCTCATCTCGTGCATTTTATTGCTAAACTTCTGTTTTACAACGCAGCAGGTCACATTAATGATAATGGCTGTCGTTTACAGCAGGGACTCAGCAGGAAATAAGTTTTAGGATTCAATCACTGGAGCGAGAGAGAACACAGGCGAGTGTTTGCTCCAATCACCCTTATTTCACCCTGCGTGTGTGCGGGCTGTTCTCTGCAGCTTCGAGTTTTCTTTCAGTCACAGCTGTCAGTGTGAGTTTCTGCAGGCTGCGTGGGTAAACGTCTCTGTCAGAGTCTCCTCCACACCGAGCATCATTACACTGTATGAAGAGGTCAGATCAGATTCTGCAGACAGACAGACTGCAGTCTGACAGCCGTTATGTAATAATTACTGCACTGAGGCTAAAACACCAAGAAGGTGGAATCACGCGCTGCACACGCACAGACGGGCTCCACGATGCGTGGTTCCCTCCTCCTTTTATCGCCTTCTCTGTCCGCGTGCGTGCTGAGGCCGCAAATCGTGCGTGGAATCACCAAGCACCCCACCCCTTCCCTCACCTCTCCACTCCCTCCTTATTAAGTCTCAGTCATTGCTGCATGGCAAGCCAAAAGGGACAAAATTCAACACTTTTTCAACCCATATGATGTAAAAATAACCACTTCTTCAGTTACAGCGGATGTAAAATATGGCCAAATTTCCACCAGAATGCCATGTTTTACACAGTTTAGGCTCCTTTTTCTGAGCATTAAAATATGTTTGTTTTTCCCTTTCATTGATCGCCGCTTCTTCTGTCTCCCATAAACAGAAGGTTATCAGCTGCATGGCTCTGCAGAGTGAAACATAAATAAATTTAGGCAGCTTTGTGCATTTTGTCATTCAGAATTATTTAATTTACAGACTTGAGGCCCTGAATCACTTTATTTGAATAAAATGTGAAATTTTACTTGAATTTGATTAGGTTTAGTTGAATGCGATGATGCATCCCATGCTTATTTACCTGCTTGAACAAAATGTTTATAATATTGTTTTTCTTTCAGCTGCTCCCTTCTGCAGGGGTCACCACAACAAGCCAACTCTATAAGATTTTACCTTTTTTTTTTTTTTTTTACATCGGATGTCCTTCCTGACACAAACTGGGCACAAACCTGCAGCCTCAGGCTTACAAGACCACAGCAATGACCACTGAGCTACCGTGCACAGTTTACTTCTTTCAGCTGCTCCCTTCTTCAGAGGTCAGCACAGCAAACTAACTCACACCAAGACTTGGCATTGATTTTATGCCTTATACCCTTCTTGATGCAACTATGGACCACTAAGGTACCACAGCCCTCTCTGTTCAGCAGAGAGCTGCTATAGGGTGCATTGGGGGAGCAGATGGTGTGGGTTAAAACCCTTGCTCAAGGGCCAAGAGTGGGGCAAATAAAAGGCAGCTGTGGGTGTTTCACCTTTCCCACACACATTTTGATGTTGACAGTTTGGGGAGTTGAACCGACGCCCTTCAAATCACCAACTCACCTTATCTAACCTCTGTGCCACCATTCCGCCATACCGCTACCGTACAATTTAATTGTATATGGTGTTTTTTTTAACAAGTTTAATAATATTAAACACTGTGAAAAAGACAAGAGTCTTGAATGTGTTTAATTGTGGCCCTCTTGGCTTGCCATACCGCCAGTTATGATATAGCGGAACGGAACCGTGAAGTGCGCGGACCTGTCCATGGTGCTGAAAGGAGAGCAGCACCGTGCAGCAGCAGCAGGAGGAGAGTTCTGCCCCGCGGAGAAACGCAAACTTACCATGTTGACTTCAGACACCATGTCGATGCTGGCGATGTCTATGCGCATGCCCACGTCCACGGGGGCGCCTGCGGGCAGATCAGACTGTTAGTGAGCGGCACCGGCAGCCGGCTGAGCGCCACACATGGCTGCAGCTTTACCTCCAAAATCAGGCCGCAGACGGATGTCATAACCCTTCAGCAGCTTGTCCACCGTGGCTTTCACATACGACATGTTGCTGGGTTCGTTTGCGCTAAAACAAGCAGAGAAGTCAGAGAAACACACGCGCTCAGGCCTGGCTGGAATAAGAAAGCGCTCATCTCACCTTTGCGCGCCGCAGACCACAGAGACCAGCAGAGACCAGCTGCAGAACCAGCAGCGCCCCCGGTCCGGCATGATAATCCACATCCCCGGTCCTCCTGCCGCGCGAGCTCCTCAACTTAGGCTGCAGAAGTGTTATTCCGAACAGCAACGCATGCGCGCCCTTCTTTTAACCAACATCCGAGCGTGAGCAGCGAGGCGAGTTTGGGGAGGAATTAAGGCTCAGAGAATTCAGACGAGGGGGGGAAGAGTCACCTGAGCAGGGAGCAGCGCGCCGCGCACGAGGCGGCTCCATCAGACAGTCAGGTTCAAACTTGGAGGCGCGAGTCTCTCCGGTCACCTTTGGAGAAAACAAAGCAGGAGGGGCGGAGGAGGAGGACGGGGTGAGGGGAGGCGCAAGCACGTCCAAGGAGCTGCGCACTTTCCCAGACCGCGCTGCAGCGCAACTTCTTCACCGGTTAGAAAAAATTAAAAACGCGTGAAAGACGCAGCTCGTGACTTCCTGATGGGAGCGCGGGTTCTAACGGGCTTTGTATGAGGGGAGAAACTCGCAGGTGACCTTTGACCTGTTTACAGTGAAGCCAGCTCGCACCCTGAATTTTTCTCTCCCCATTTGAGTTTAAGGTGAAAAAACATGCCCAAACTAAACATTACTTTCTTGTTTGTCGTCACGTAATGTTGTTGCAGCCCCCAGCTGAAAACATTTTGCAAATTAAACTTCATACCAGCAGAAAAAAAAAAAAGATATTTCTGAATTAGCTCATTGTTCCAAACAAACTCAAAGAAAGGAGTGTGAGACTGACAGAAGGATTGGTGCAGCGTCTGCAGTATTGTGGACTCTGTGCTGGTCCGTTGTGGTGAAGAGGCAGCTGAGCTGTAAAGTGAAGCTCACTGGTCGGTCTACATTCATACTGCCACAAACTCTGGGTATAATGACCGAAAGAATGAGATTGCAAATAGGCGGTTGAAATGAGTTTCCTCCGCAGGGTAGCTGGACTCTCTTAGACATAGGGTGAGAAGTTCAGTTATCCGGGAGAGACTTGGAGTGGAAGTAAGGAAGCAAACTTTATTTATATAGCACCTTTCATAGATAAAATCACAAAGTGTTTTACAGAAATACAGATACAGGCTTAATATAAAACAAAAAGAAAAAGCTGATAAAAACAGTGAGTAGATCATTTAAGTAAAAGTTTGTCTGAATAAAAGTGTTAAGCTGCTTTTTAAAGGAATCAACAGAGACGGACACCCGAAGAGACGGGGGCAGCGCATTCCACAGCCTGAAAGGATAGGTCACTGATAGGGACATTTAGGAGGTTCAGCACCAAAGACAGAAAGGTGTAGGCTGAAGAATAAGGGATCAACATTTCAGTGATGTGTTGGTTCTAAATTCAACAGGTGGCCAGTGTAGAGAAGATAAAACCAGTGAAAAGTGTGATCTTCTATTAGTTCCCGTTAAAAGCCTCGCAGCGGTGTTCTGGACCAACTGGAGGCGAGTGAAAGCAGCTTTGTTAAAACAAATAAAAAAGGGAATTACAATAATCTAAATGAGAATAAATAAAAACATGAATAATCATCTCCAGCTCAGATATAGCATTGCCATCAATTAGAACCGCTGCTCATCATCGAAAGGAGCCTGTTGAGGTGGTTTGGGCATGTCCAACTGGGAGGAGACCCTGGGGAAGACCCAGGACTACGCCTTGGAGTCATGATGGCATGATGGTCGCTATCAGGGCCCAAACGATCGGTCATGGTCCTCCTTTTGCATGTGAACAACAGTTCTGGCTTTCAACAGTGAACTGGTTGATCCACTATGAGAAAGTGCTATTTATAAGACTGGGTTTATTGTAGCTCCTCAGACCGAAGACGCCTTTTGGATAAAAGACGAAACATTTCTACAGGAAGAATCCATCCAGAGGACCTGCCTCAACCTTGTTAGATTTACCTACCTGGATTATTGATCATGCATCAGGGTGGCCCATGCTAATCTAACTCTTCTTCTTTGTTTTGTTGGCGGTTGATAAAGCAGCTTGTTGGAGCGTGTATCACCACCTGCTGGACTGCTGTGTAAACTATAGTGCACAGTGAAGCTGACATTATGTTTCTCAGCTGGATGGGAGATTTTACCTTAAGTTAACAAGGCTTTGACTAATAATTTCTTGTTATCACAGTTTAACATATAGCTTGTCAACTTTACAGAAAATGTCACATTGAATCAAGTCATTTATACAATTTACAGTACAGAGGAAGCTTCCATTGCTGAGCTGAAGCCTTCAGCAGCATTTTCCCAAAACACCTTGTGATGCTGACACAGAAGAATGTTTCACTGGAGAACAGAGGATCATGTGATGGATTAGTGTTCATTTGATTTGAACTCAGATTACAACATGTACAAGCAAAGATAAATTAAATATTATTTCTCATAAACAGGTTGTTTGGTAAGAAGACAGGGCTAAACGTGGAAAAGCTTAAACAATAACCAAAGAAATGCAAAATGTTCCATGACAATAACTTGTTATCCCGTAAAATCAAAGCTTTTTATACATTTATTTGCATTTTTCTGACTGAGAATCAACTCTGGTGTTTAATTTGTTTGATGTTGTGGCACGGAGCGGGTTTTTCTAATCACTTTATACATATCACCCCGAGGTGTCACCAACATGACCAGATAACACCTTCGTCCCACTCCTCCTTCTGCTCCTGCGTTCCCTCCATCTGCCTCATCACCTCCTCGATCAGCGTTCACGTTGCTTTGTTTAAAGAAAATGCTATTTCTGTAGTTGTGATTATTGTCTTTGAAATGAAGCCACAAAAAACCTAACTTTTCCATTTGTAAAAGCTGGTGAATTCTCATTATGTCGGGAGATGATGAAAATTAACCCGGTGAACATTTGAGAGCGTGGAGACTTCAAAATATAATAATTAAAACTATAAAGCTGAACCCTTCCTGGAACAACCAACTCATGATAATCTCAGGGTCAGTCAGTGAGATCTTGATGAATCTTCAGATAATTTGATGTTCTAACTCTCAGAATAAAAAGATCAACATCGCCTCCTAGTGAGATTTGAAACTTTCTGCAGCCTGAGACAAACCAAAGACAGAAACTCAACTTGGGTGCAGAAAAGATCTGTAGTTTTGTTTTGGATCACATTTTAGTTTCAGCTGCAGGTTTGTGCCCCACCAAGCACTCCATGTTTATCACATAACTTTACTAATATGTATCAAACCGGTTGCTCTCTGGGAAGATTTTGTCAAATATTTGTAATTCATCCAAACATTTTATTAAATATGATTGATGATATATATTATATAGGACTCTCAGCTACTACCACTTATTTTTTAGCTCAGCATCTGTTAAATTGACTGAATTGTAGCGCTTTCTGTGTTTTTAAGGTCGGTTAGCTATATGTATCATCTTGAATGGGATTCATTTTAGAGTTAATTAGATATAGACAAGTGGCACGGTGGATCAGTTTGTAGAGCTTTTGCCTCTCAGCAAGAAGGTCGCCGGATCAAAATCAAGGCCCAGAGCCTTTCTGGGTGGAGTGTGCATGTTCTCTCTGTGCATGCATGGATTTTCTCCAGGTACTAATTTCCAGTGGGATCAATTAATTATTAATTATTAAAAACAAGCATGTTAGGCTGATTGGTAATTAAATTGTCCCTAGGTGTGAGTGAGAGAGTGAATGGTTGTTTGTCTCGTTTGTCTCTATGTGTCCCTGTGATGGACTGGAGACCTGTCCAGGGTGTCCCCCACCTCTCACACAGTGACTGCTGAATATGGGCAACAGTGACCCCCGCAACACAGAAAGGAAGAAGTGGGTAAAAGATAATGGATGGATGGATAGTAGGCATAGGTTATTTTGTCTTGACTAGTTTACATGGATGGGTTTTTGACTAGTTTAATCCTGTGATCCACTCGTGCATTAAAAAGCCAACTAGTTTCAACTTTTGTGTTCTGTTGAGGCAAACATGCTGCTAATTTGGAAAAAAAAATGTTACTAGTGAATTTTTTTTAAAGTTTAGTAGTTACATTTTTAGGCTCCACTAATCAATTAGTGACTGATAATAGCGGAGTGAGGTTAGAGAAGGTGGGCCTGTGATTGGAAGGTTGCTGGTTCGACAACCCAGACCGACAACATCAAAATGTGGGTGGAAAAGGTGAAACACCCACACCTGCCTCCACCCTGTACCCCCGAGCTGGGCATGGGCACCTGTGACCTTTGTGACCTGAAAAGGAAAAAGATGATGGATGATAGCTCTAGGCAAACATACAATGATTCCTTTTTGACAGTTTCACTAAAATCTATACAGTGGTTCAAGAAATATTTATCTTATAGACAGGCAAAAACACCATCACCCATCTTTTATCTTTCAGGGAGGGGAGTTGATAATAATATTAATAATCCATCCATCCATCATCTTTACCTGCTTCTTCCATTTTGGGCCATGGGGGTCACCGGTGCCCATGTCCAGCAATCACTCGCTGACAGGCAGCAGCTCTACCAGTTGCGCCACCATGCTGCAATAATAATAATAATAATAATAATAATAATAATAATAATAATAATAA